GACCTCCCTGACACGACAGAACCCAAGCAGTGTTGTAGGCATCGATATTTTTCCCTATAGTATTGTGGGAGCCATTAACTCCCATATGGTAAGGCTCCCCCCATATGCCTCTAGGCATCCACTGTGTTGTGGGCGCCGGCATTTACCGTACCGGGCGAACATGGTAAAACTGCTTACATGCCTCCAGGTATCAACAGTGTGGCAGGCGCCGACGTCTGCCATACCCGAAGAAGACAACACAACCTCCCACATGCATCTGACATTCAACAATATTGTGGGCGCCTACCATCATCTTGTACCCGCCGGCATGGGCAACAAGGCTTAGTAGCATACGTACTCTCTCCCTCTCACTTGTAAGGCCATCCCCTTCATCTATAAAAGGGGATGCGCTCTCTCCCAACAGGTAGATTCATTCAGATTCATTCTATCGACCAGTTCACTAGTCCACAACAATAGAACCTCTAGGTTCAAACCACGAGCACATGCTCAAACACTTAGCGCATAGCAGGGCTCCCGTCATTCTCGGCTCCTCTGACCAGAGTCCGACCGGACCTCTTGTACCTCCCATCTTTCTCCTTCTCGTTTGTAACCCCACTGCAAACTTCGAGCACCTGGGCTCAGGAATAAAGTCACCGACCGACTCAAACTGGATGTAGGGCACGTTGCCTGAACCAGTATAAACCCTATGTCATTGAGTGCTAGGCCACCTCCGATCACAACATACGGCAAAACTACAAATATTTACGTGTTGGTCACTTTCTGCACCGACACATAGTGTGGTTCCAAAATGAATTGGAATATGAAATGTTTCCATCGTTTGTCAGTCTCTCTCATACCTGTACGAGTTAAGTGTTTAGACATAGTGATGAATTAGAGCATGTCACATTCAGACATAGTATAAATTATGATTCATAGATGAATTGAAACACTAACGATATCACTAAATAAATCTCTAAGATGCAAGTCGTCTAGTTAACCAGGCAACAAGCTGAATGTGCCATTGCAGCTTATGGGTATATTTGCTAGTAAAAAATAACTAGCCCCATTACCCAATGTGCAAGTTATGTTTCTTAGAACATGACTTTGCACCCACTTGTGCAAAGATTGTTCATACATGAAAGAAGTTTGGAACAAGATGCTCACTTGGAGGAGCAACTCTAGAGCCTTAATATCATTTAACAAGGGGGTCATTCTAGAGATGGTTGAGAAATGGTGAATTAGTTTTGACAAGGCTCAAGAGAAAGCTTTTGGCAAGATGATGATTTACTTTTGGTGGCATATTTGGAAGGAAAGAAACCGAAGATTGTAATGGAGAAGTGGTGGAGGAAGCTGGCTATAGAGTGCTGCTTTGCTGTTCTTATCTATCTATTTTGTTGAGTTGCTTCCTTTGTCATGCGGTTTTTTCTTGTCTCTAGAATAGGCGTGTGAATTGTGGTCACTGACCTTTTGAGCTAGATTATGGTTGTTTTAAAAAAATTTATTACTCTTCTTATTTTTCTTGTCGAATAGTTTTTTAAAAGAGTTAAATGCACCAGAGGTCCATTAACTTGTGAGGAGGTTTCTGTTAGGTCCATCAACTTTCAAAGTGGCTTTTTGGGTCCATAAACTTTGTATACCGTATCACTTAGATCCATACTTCTCCATGTTGGTTTCTTCATGCTGATGTGGCATGATGACTAGGCTTCTATGTCCCACTCCCACGGATTCCACCAGGGCAACAGCGGCGTCTACGGCTACTCCTTCGATGGCTTCGACCGCCTGGATTCCAGCCACCACCAGGAACATCGGCAGCAGCAGCAGCACGAGCACGTGGCGCAGCAGAGCCGCCGCGACAAGTTGAGGGTGCAGGGCTTCGACCCGACTACCGCCGCCGGGCACAGCCTGCTCCCTCTCGATGGCGACGAGCATGGCGGGCCCGGGTTCATGTACGAGCACGCAGCGGCGGCCGTCGGGGCCTCCAACATGCTCTCCGAGATGTTCAACTTCCCCGCGCCGTGGTCAGGGCCCTCCGCCACCGAGCTGCTGGCCAGCCAGATGAGCGCCAACTACCGCTTCGGGCTACGGCAGTAGCAGGCCAGGCCCGGAGGGGTGGCCGTGTTGTCTGGCGGCGACGACGGTTGGTTTAGGGTCGGCGCGGCGGGTCATGCTGGCTTTGCCCTCAGTGGGGACAGCATGGGCTCGTTAGGTGAAATGTCGTCCCCGAAGCAGCAGCAAGCAGCCAGCCAGATGAACGATGCAGCTCTCCCTGATGAACCGACAACAACAGCAACAGTCTAGATCGTCGCCGACGTTGCCGTCGGACGTGCAGCAGCACCATGAGGCGTTCCAGGCTTTCGGCACCGCCGGGGCCCTGTTCGTGGAAGGCCAGGGGTTGTTCCTCTCGCTGTCGCCGTCACTGCAGCAGCTGGAGATGGCGAAGCAGGCCGAGGAGCTAAGGGTCTGGGACGGCGTGCTCTACTTCAACCGGCAGCAGCAACATCAGGGTGGCCCGTCGGTGCAGCAGCAACAGCTGCCGATGGCATTGCACGGCCAGGTCGACGCGCTGGGGCAGCAGCTGCATGTCGGCTACAGCCCGGCCGACGTCGCGGGCGTGCTGCGCAACTCCAAGTACACCTACGCAGCGCAGGAGCTCCTCGAGGAGTTCTGCAGCGTCAGGCGTGGGCAGATCAAGGGCGGCCCACGGGGCGGGCGTGGGGCCTCGGCCTCCAACCCTAACGCGAGCAACAAGGGCGGCGCCTCCAGCTCCGGCGCCGCGCAATCGCCTTCTGTCCTTGCTCCCCTTCCTCGCGTCGCTGTCCCTGGCGTGGAAGCGTGTGTGTACCGAAACTAGCAGCGAGCATGTACTGTGACTGCGAGGCGTCGTCGGCGCGGAGGCGGAGGCTGAGGAAGATGATGGAGCCATGGCGCACGCCGTAATGCGCGACGGGGAGGCCATCATCGTCAGCACCCGCACCCGCCCGGTGGTCTCCTCGGCGTGGCACGACGGTGCGTCGGCGGCGGCGGGGGCGCTTGTGCTGTTGTCATCGAGGCACTGGCACTCGGCCTTCCCGGGGACGCACAGGCCGTACGCGCCGCACGGTGTCGGCAGCTCGCACCGCTCCGAGATGGCCCTGTAGTCCGACGTCCACGCCTTGGATCCGCTAGTCCAGTAGTACGCGCGGAGGTTGCCGTCGTCTTTGAGCGTCATCCGCCGGAAGGCGCCAGTGAGGTTGTCCACGATCATGTCGAACGAGAGCACGTCGACTCTCCGGTCGCCGCCCTCGAGGTACAGGCCGAAGAACCCGCGGGAGTCGAGGCGACCATAGACTGGCGGCTCCGTGATGCTCTCCGGCTGCGCCTCGAGCGCCGTGTGCCGCCAGTACGTCAATACATACATATGGTGTTTCTTCTTTTCGCGTTCGAGATCGGCAAGGATTCAGAAGACAAACTCTAGCTACCTACCGCCGGCCACCGGTCACCTGGCGTCGCCGGCGGTGCTGCTGAACCCGATGTCATGGCCGCCCCAGCGCAGCGTGCTGGTGAGCGAGGACGAGCTGAGCGAGTCGGCGGACGACGAGTCGTCCGACAGGCCGGCGAGCCCCAGCAAGGCGTTGTAGTCCAACACGCTGTCCTGTAGGCTGAGCAACAGCTGCTGGTTGTTGGCGCTGCCGCTGAGGCTCATGCATGGCCTGGTCGCGGGGACGAACGGCGGGTCCGCCTCGCCGCCCAGCACCTGCACCACGCCGCGCATCCTGGGCCGCAGCGCGGGTTCCGGGCTGGAGCACGCCAGCCCCACCAGCAGCGCGCGCCGTGCCTCGTCCTCGTAGAACTCGCTGCCCAGCCGCGGGTCCATGGCCTCCAGCAGCCGCGCCTCCCCGCATGATCCTCATCGTCGGCGCCAAGGCAGTGGCGCTCGCCCACAAGTTGTTTGACAAAATGGATTGCCAAGAGCTACTTCAAGGACATGTCAGCAGGCCACATCAGCATGAGAAGCTCGAGTGGAGAAGTATGGACCTAAGTGATATGGTATACAAAGTTTATGGACAAAAAACCACTTTGGAAGTTGATGGACCTAACCAAAACCTCCTCACAAGTTAATGGACCTCTGATGCATTTAACTCTTTTTAAAAAGTCTCTTGCTATCCTTTCCTATCTCTAATAATATCAAAAAGCAAAATGTCACTTCATCCTTCATCATTCACAGCCATTTGATAGGGATCCGATGAGCTCAATATCATCTCTGTGCCTGTCCAAACACGGTGTGTGGTGTATGATCCAAAATGAATTGGAATGCAAAGGGATCCGATGGGCTCAATATCACCATATGAGTTATATGTTCAGGCATGGTGATGAATTAGAGCAACACGCGTTAAGGTATAGTACGTGACTACATGATAGCTAAATAAATCTTCAAACTGCAAGTTGTTGAGTTAACCATGCAACAAGTTGAATGTCCCATTGCAACTTATGGATATGTTTGTTAATAAAGAAATAAAAATAATCAGCAAGGATGTGCACCACTCCCTTGAGGGCTCGTTCGGTTGTTAATTTATATAATGTTGATAAGTCAGAATGGTTCCTACCTCGAACCAGGCTAACCGAACGGACCCTAGCTCCTCAAGTAGCCTAGTGCTGTGGACGAGTGAGCCCTAGCTAGCCGAGCCGTGTCGATCGACCACTAGCCGACCAGCTCACCCCTCCCCGGTGCGAAAAGGCCACACGACACATCGCGAAAAGCTATGGCGGACTGCCTAAAGCCACACACGGATGTCGCCCAACGCAGTGGGCAGGTCGACACAGCCAAGAGTTTAAAAGCCACCACCCGGCCGTCCCACGCTTTCCTTTGACCGGCAAAACAAAGAGAAGAAGCAAGCAAGAGCACCCACACGAGGAGAAGCCGCCGCGCCGTCCCCAAGAAGAATCCACCAGCCAGCAACAGCAAGCTACCGTTACTCTACCTCCTGCTGGCTCCTGCGAGAGGGGCGGCGCCGATCGATCGATCGATCCATCCACCGATCGGGATGTGGGAAGGCGGCGGCATCCACGGCAGCCACCACGAGGCGCTCCTGCTGCAGGCCGCCGGATCAGGAGCGGCCGACTACGGGCACGGCGGCGGCCCGGCTTCGTTCATGCCGTGGCTCGGCTCGGCCGCCGCGTCGGAGTTCTCCTACATGGCTCCACACCACGCGCATCAGCCGGGGCCCTTGGGCACCGCCGAGGCGGCCGCCGCGAGCCCTTTTGGCTTCGGCGGCGGCGGCTGGGTACAGCGATGGCGGGGTGGGGCAATTCGGGGTGTTCGGCCCAGAGACCCCGCTGCCTCTTTCGCCGCACGGTCTGCTGGCTGCCGGAGGCAGCAGTGGTGGGACGACGGCGCTGCTGCCGCACGGGCCGAGGATGGTGTCCGGCCTTCTGGGGACCCTGCAGGCGGAGCTGGGGCGGATGACGGCCAAGGAGATCATGGACGCCAAGGCGCTGGCGGCCTCCCGCAGCCACAGCGAGGCCGAGCGCCGCCGCCGCCAGCGCATCAACAGCCACCTCGCCAGGCTCCGCAGCCTGCTCCCCAACACCACCAAGGTGATCATGAGGTTACCCGTTCCATCACTACCTACCTGCATCTGCATGTACATCCCCGGGCCACATGCTAACTGCGTGCAGATCCATGATCCATGGCCAAACCCTAGAACGAACCTGCCAGCAGCTTGGTGGCCCTGCAGAGATGCGCAATCGCGAGATCAGTCCGGCTTGGGTTGATCACCCCACTGTTCAATTCAGATCCAGCAGACGACAAGGAAATCGCCCTTGATTACAGAAGTAGTTAAGCACACAGCTAACAGCTTAGGGTGACACAGGATGTAGCCGAGCTACCTACCTAGACTAGATAGCTTAGCCAGTTTCTGTCGACACCGGCTAGCTAGTGACACAGGCCGGCGTGCCGGCTCTACAATCCCTCAGCAGTCAGCACCCATAGCATAATTACATGCTTGAAATCAAGAGGTACTTCCAAGTCCACATTTCTTAATCTTTATTAGTTTCCCTGCTGACTAATGCCATATATGTTTACAATGATCATATATACTTTGAGACAGGAATTTCGTTTCACGGGATCTTCGTCGCCAGAGATAGATAGATATTTGGAATCCTATACAAGTAAAGTCCAGCAAATTTTCTACCCCTAGTATGTTCTCCAACCAAAGGTAGGACCTCTCAAGTTAGGACAAACTACAAAGGGGACAAACAAAGACAAGATGACATGGTCATAGGTTAGACCATCAAGTGAAAAAAATGGTCATAGGTAGCAGCAGCTGACATGGCACGCAGAAGGCTTTGGGCTCGTGGGAGACCCCGCGCGCGCGCCCTGCTTCCCCTGCTGCGCTCCTGTGCACTCCTGCGGGGAGATCGAGCGGCCCGTGCAAGACAAGCGCGCACGCTCGTGTCAGAGCTCATCAGGCGCCTCACCCCAAAAGCCGCAGGCAGGGAGGCCGGCTGGAGGCCGCGCATGCAAAGGCTGCACCCACGCGCGCCATTTTTGTAGCTTTTCCTCCATGCTCGCATGCACTCGCACCACTCAATCGCCACTCTGCTGCTGCTGGCTGGCTGCTGCACGCCCTCTCTCTCCTCTCCTACCGCCACTACACCTGCAGCCACCGCGCCTACTTGCGCGCGCGCGCACACACACACCGTCGCGTCGCCACTCGCCACTCGCCACTAGCTAGCTAGCTAGAGCCACTACTGTAGCTGTACTCATCTCGCCATATGCGGTATGCGCAATCATATTTGCATGCATGCGACGCTAGTTCCATTTGTTGATTTTCAAGCACCTAATGATGGCTCTGATTTGTTCTGTTGGTGTTTCCTGATGGCGTGGGTCGTTTGGGTCTCGTCTCGCTCGCTCGCTTGCAGACGGACAAGGCGTCGCTGCTGGCCGAGGTGATTGAGCACGTCAAGGAGCTGAAGCGGCAGACGTCGGCGGTGCTCGAGGGGGAGGAGCCGGCCGCGGCGGCGCGGCAGCACCTGCAGCTCCTGCCTACGGAGGCGGACGACCTGGCGGTGGACGCCGCGGAGGACGGCGACGGCAGGCTCGTCGTGCGGGCATCGCTGTGCTGCGAGGACCGCGTCGGCCTCATCCCCGACATCGCCCGCGCGCTCGCCGCGCTCCGCCTGCGCGCGCACCGGGCAGAGATCGCCACGCTTGGCGGCCGTGTCCGCAACGTGCTCCTCATCACCGCCGACGACGACGAGGAGGAGGAAGAAGGAGGAGAGGGCCAAGGGGACGACGGCGACGACGTCGGCGAAGCCTGCCCGCCGCCGGCGCCTCGTCGTCCAACCCGAGGCACGAGCTCGTCGCGTCGATCCAGGAGGCGCTGCGCGGCGTCATGGACCGCAAGACGGCGAGCAGCGGCGACACGTCCTCGTCTAGCGGCGGCGGCGGGAGCATCAAGAGGCAACGCATGAACGGTGCGCATGAGCAAGGTTCGCTTTAGCGTGCTAAAACTAGCTAGTAGCTACTACTCCGTAGCTAGCTAGCTAGCGCCATGCCTCCATCGATGCTAGCATGCATGAAATATGCAAGCATGCTTGCATGGCTAGCTAGCTTCTCAAACTGTCAAGTTAATTAGTATAGTTATAAAGCTATAGTCACTTCAAACTTGGAACGAGCTGGCTCTTTTTTTTTGTTGCTATGCTAATGGTGTGTGTGCATGAGGGAAAGAAAATGGAAACATGGACGTGCAAGTTTAGCAGAGGGAGAGTTTTATGTGTATCCCTTATATATCTTTGTGGTGCTTTTAAGTTTTTACTTAGTTCGCGTATGTATTGGGGAGGGGGAAATTTGAGAGGTTATTGATAAACCGCTCGTAAAATGGGGGTATTGATAAGGGTGTATAATCTTTGGGTTAATATAATGGGAGATGGAATTGGTGGGGTTGCTCATTTCTTCAGTGTGCCATGCATGGAGCTAGCTTCGCTCTTTTTTCACCTTTCATCATCTTGTCGTTTGCATCCCATTGCCAATACATTTGTGCATGCTAATGTTATACATTTTGTTCATCTTTTTGCCGGCCTCACATGTTCTGATCTCATGATTAGTTTTCTCCAGAGCTCATTCGATCTGTACAAATCTTCTTAAGTATCAATTTGTTAATGGTATTATTGTTGGTGATATATAGCATCTTTTTTCTCTCCTATATATGTACTCCCTCCCATAAAAATAGTCATTCTCGTTTCCTAAAAAGTTAACTATCTTTAACTTTGATCAAGTATATATAACAAAATATTAACAATTATGGTACATAATTAGTATCATTGGATTAGATAGATGTTTGAATATATTTTCATAATAAATTTATTTGGAGATATAAATGTTACTAATATTTCTACAAATTTAGTCAAATTTAATAAAGTTTTACCAGCAAGAGTCCCATAGCGACTCTTTTTATGGGACATAGGGAGTATTTATCTTGTATGGACAAATCAGTGACTGCTTTATTCTGCACATATATATAATCCAATACCACAGAGCTAGCAGTAGATATTAAGATATATGTGCATACTGTTGTTAAGTATATATGTACAAATATTACCATGATGGTGAACTATCCCAATTTCTGTCTTTCTGTAGTCACTCATCACTGAATTCGATCGAGCCCTATCAAGTTGTCATACTAAGTGTTTTGGAGTGGGGATCACCTTCCTTCGTGCAACAAATAAATTGATGATTTCCAGAGGACCTAGATAAAAGAGAGAGGGCATTATTTAAAATGGCATCAAACGACGTAGGCAATATCTTTGATCAATACCTTGCCTTAAAGCTATTTTCTCCTTTTTTTCATTCCTATCCCATGGCCATGCAATGTAATTTCTCTAAAGGCCAGATCAAGGCAGTCTTTTATTTTCCCTAGCTAGGTGGGCTCCAGTTTTTTGATATTTCTATAATCCAAAGCTCTCATAGAACATTCAGTTGCTTGGTCCTTTTGTTATTTATTACTCCCTCCGTTTCTCTAAAGCAAGTCGTTTTGGACATCGACACGGTCTTTAAGAAACGACTTTGACTGCAACTTTTTGCTATAAAATATTTATAAAATATAGTCAATATATACTTTTATGAAACTATATTTCGAGATGAATCTACTTATATCACTTTCATATTTTCAAACTCAACCCAAAAGAAGTTATTTATAGTCAAAGTTTAAAATGTTTGACTTAAGACAACCTCAAAACGACTTGTTTTAAAGAACCGGAGGGAGTACATGCCAATATACATCGTATAATACAAATATCTCGTATTTTTTTGTACACCAAAACTATTCTAGTTCTCTAATAATCTAAAGTACAATGTAGCCTACTACGTGTTCAGATGAAAGGGTGCAAAAACTGCATGGTTTCAACTTTCAAGTGTGGTAGTCATCATGCGGTTTGCTTCATGATAGTCAGAGTTGTTGATGCTACTTACCCATTTGGCCGGGCTTCTCGGCTCCGGCTTCTTGCGGCTTCTCGCAAAAAGCCCTGGCAAATGGGCATCTTAAAACGTCTCCTTGCAAGGAGTTTGAAGGAGACAGAACCATTTTTTTTTCACTACTACATAAACCTTTTGTAGGGGCGGCTCTAGATGATTTGTAGGAGCGGTTTGGCCAGTCGTCTTTACCAAAACATGGCTACAAATCATGTATTTATAGGGGCGGTTCCCAGACCGCTCCTACAAATCAATTTGTAAGGGCGGCTGGTGTCACCAGCCGCCCCTACAACTGTATTTGTAGGGGCGGTTGGTAACACCAGCCGCCTATACAAAAATAACTTGTAGGGATGTTGTAACACCAGCCGCCCCTATAAATCCTATTTCTAGGGGCAGTTCACTCTATAACCGCCCCTATAGTACATTTTCATACCAAAAAATTGAAATTTGAAAATTTAAATATGACCAGAACATATATACATATATATAATATAATTCACAGGGACATTATATCAACAACTAATTGACAAGAAGATATATGCATTACAAACCCATAATAATTTAAATTATTTCATTACAAACACATAATAATTTAAATTTGTTCATTACAAACCATAATAATTTATATTAGTTCATTATTACCACTAACAGTAATTTAACTTCCTAGAATTTTCTAACGTTGTACCACGTACTCGGAGAAGTGCAGATCATTCATTTCATATGCCAAAATATCACTGATGTAGCGCAATGTATTTACTAGTGCACTCTCCCTTACTTCACAAGATCGTTCACAAGGTCTACTGACGACGATCAGCATTGGTCGAGAACCTTCACTCTTAGTCACAAGAATTTTTACCTGGATTCCCTCTAAAGTGAGAACAGGGCCACCATATTCCCATTTATAACGACCCAAGTGATACATGGCCTGGTTTAAAATGGCTTCAAAGCTACAACTTGCGTACGTCGTTCTCCTGAATCTGTAAGTGTTGGAAAAAATATGGTTATCAGAACCATGCATATATATATATATATATAGACATAACAATTAATCTGGATATAAGTTATAAGACTGACCACATCATTTATAATGTCCTCAGCAAGCTTTGCACAAAATAGTCCAATATCGTGGTGGAGGCCCACATTCAAAGCAGCAATCCTCATGGAGAAGTATGTAGGAATATTGTATCCAATATTTTGAAGCGCCCTTAAACATGCTTGCACAACATATTTTTGCGCAGTAATGTCATGAGGTTGACCGCTGCTCGTCCTATCGATGTATAAAACCATACCTTGTTGGTTACCCGCCCTAGCAAGAATAGAAAAGCCAATTCGACATTGCTTGATTCGACCATCTATAGGGAATGTATCAACATTGAGGAAATCAACCATGAAATTTGAGAGTGTCTCTCTGAACCATGGTATATGATGAATTGTCTACATTTAAGAATTATATATATCAGAACAAAATATCTATAGAGGTGTCTTTAAACATGTTACTTACTATGCTTGGATATGGGTGGTTTGCCCTCCCCAATGCTGGGTGGAAGCCCAGATCATACATATAATTATTTGGCAGATCCGACAAAGGGAGTTCGGCCATATCTTCTCCTAAATTAATATCAAGGAAAACAATTATAGTAGAGGAACAGGAGAGGATAGGAGTAGAAGAAGTAGAAGCAGAGGACATGAGAGGAGAAGAGTAGAAGTAGTAGAACTAGGAGAAGAGGGTCTACAAAGCAGCATCAGCATTGGTAGCTCATGGAGAAGAGTAGAAGTAGATGCAAGAAAGTGTGCTTTAGGTACGCGAGAAGGTATAAAAAATCAAAAAGGTCTACAAACCAAAGTAGTCCTATAAAACAACAATATATCAAAAAAATAAGTAGTAGCAGTAGTAGAGGCCTCAGAAACATGTCAATCATCATTTGATCATGAACTTAGAGCATCAAGGCATCATAACAGAGAAGAGAGGAGAAAGTAATGTAGGGGCGGTTGCTAATGATGCCAAGTTCCTCACAAGTTCTTGATCATCAGCTCATATTCCATATAATGTATGGACTTAGACAATTTCATCATCGGCAAAACAAATGAGAGGAGAAGAGAGGGGAGGAGAGATTTGGCAAAAAAACAACAGTTGCTTAACAAATATAGAGAGAAAAATGTGTAAAAAAGCAGCAGCTGTTTCCCAAACATAGAGGATAGGAAAGGTAACAAAAAAAACAACAGCTGCTTATAAGCAGGGGGCCATTCGATCATCATATGAGCTACCTCATATGCCTGAGTTGAGTCTAAGTTGTGGCATGGATTGCCATACTGACTTTGCTCGATCACACATGAACATCATATGCTTCATATCTTCCGAACCTGATAGGCAGATCAGACAATCAGAATTTTCTCCAATATGGCGATGGAATACGACCCCCTTACAGGGAATGAACCCATTAAGAAGTCACCATCCATAAATTTTAATAATAATGTTTATCGAATTATGTATAGAATCATCGTTAAACACTAAGGTATTGACGCAACTGGCCCATTCGGCTATCACTATTGTACCTACTAGATATAAAAAGTAAGCATGAAAGCCCAATTCTATGCCAAAAAAATTGTAAACTATTGAAACTTAGTTGAGCATTAATCAAAAGAGTAGCTGAAGTAAGCTGACATGACATATAAACCATGAAACAATTTTCCAATGACATGTTCAGGTAATTTGATAATAACAACCACAACTGATCATAGTGACTTGAGAACTACATATTTTTACGTAAAATGCTCAAAGAAAATAACTAAAGTAGTCTGCAGCAAACACCAATCATAAAAAATATCCAGCATATGACTAGTTTGCAACTCTTGAAGCTGTTCATGAAGTAGTCTTATCCATTTCTTTTTTTTCCTCGAACTACATAGGAGATCTTCGTGTCATTTCATTAAGATAGAGTAGTCTTATCTATTTCTTCCAGAAAATGTAGATGTGTTAACAAAAACTGTAGACAAGCATAGACAC